TGATCATAAAATATCCCAAGTTGTAAGGGACCCATAAGGATCATGGAGTTGCTTCTGTATTATTCTTGTTCCCCTGTAACGCTGGTGAGGGGCTGTCAAAGCACTTTCCAAGATATTTATTTGGAAGGACCAGCTAGCTGTTATTAATAATTACAAATTTTACAAAGTCAGATTTAAAAATAAGTGACCATTGTTCCAAATGTGAGCACCCATGGACTTCAAGAAGAGCTTCCAGGCATCCAGCACTAGGCTTTACAGTGAATTGATGAAAATCCTGATCTGAATATTTTAACTGAACAGGTGACAAGACCTGGAATTAAAGCTGATTGGAAGGACTGTAGCATTTTCTGTTTCCCACTAAAATTTTCTTCTCACAAAAGACTGCGCTACCAGCTAGCTTCCTTCAGAATTGAGACTAAATGTCCTGAGGTTTGTGCTGTCATTCTGGGAACACATCTGTATTCTGAGCCAGACAGGCAGCGAGCTCATGGCAGAGCTTCTGCTCGACTTGAGGAGGTCGGGTTTGTACCCTGGGTATCTCTGGGCTGCTGAATGTAACAGCAAAGAGCAAGAAAAGGTACCCGGCCTGGATATGGATCTGTCTAGAGCTTTGTGTACACATCCGTACTGCGAGCTGCTGTCAGATCAGGGGGTAGGTGAGAATTGTGTGGAGTTTGTAGAGCAGTCCTTGCACAGTGCTTCGAAATGTGTCCGAATTGGCCGGGCTTGTTCACTGGGAATGAGCTGAGCCGCTGGGCAGCGGGATGTGTGTGTGAAATACTGCAGGAAGCAGGGCTGCAGGAACGTGCACCTTTCCCAGAGTAAGGCTGCACGTTTCAGAGCACGTTAAGGATACTCACGGATGACCTACAGTGAGCTATACGCTGTGCGATCTAAAGCCAAGGGCTTTATGTCAGGCTTAGATATTCTGAATGGTAACACACTTCTCAAAGAGCCTCAAAGTAATTAGCCTTTCGCTCCAAGTTGACACGCTTACACTTTTAATATCAGGAATAAGGAAAAAGACTAAGGCTTCTAACCTCAAATCCATAGCAGCTTAGGCACTTTCACCTCGCCGGTTTTGTTATGACAGCTCTTTGTTTGGCTGATAGTGAGTGGTGTTTTGAATAGAAGTGCTTCTGCTGCGTGCTTTGCTACCTTCCCGTAATAAGGGAGTACTTGGAGGTTATGCAGCAAGGTGCTAATTGACATTAACACTCAAGACAGGAAATGCTGACACAATTTAAAATTAACATCCTGTCAATATACTGCTGACCTGTGTTAAACGTGCGCTTTGTCAAACTTTCAGAATTAGATTTTAATACAGAAACAGCGTAACGCCGGGAGTCTTGCTGGTCTCGAGAAGACCACGTTTAATATGGCAAGAAGTCACCCAACTGTTTTCCATTTTAGCTTACCTTTCCTCAAAGAGTGAAGTTGTTCTTTGCCAAAAGAAAAAGGTCGAATAAATCAAGTAGGCTAAAAGAGCCAAAAACAATACGGTATTTGGCATTTGTTAGTAATCAAAGACTGAAATAAATTGTCCTTCGCTTCTCAGTTTGTTTTCGATGTTGCCTTACCAATGGCTATGAATCCTGGAAATGGACTTTTCCCAGGACTGCAGCACACGTGTGGCACTTTGTACCCAACCAGGCTAGCGTGGTAACCTCCCACAATCGGGCTATGTTCAGCATCACATTTTGCTTTCTGCTGTTTCTGCATCCCAACAATTCGGCGAGAAGCTGTGGTGGTGCCTGCACAGCAAGCAGCCTGGTCCCGAAATGTTGGGTCTCCCTGCAGAAACAAATGGTGCTGCTCGTTGTCAGTCGGAGCCTTCGCCTTGGGAAGGTGGAAGGCACGAGTCAGAATAATGCCGAACAAGAGAAGACAGAGCACGCTTGGGCGCGGTCTGATCTGTGGAGGAGGCTGTTTGCTGAACATTAATCAGAGGTTGTCCCAGGCATTAGGAACAGCATGAAAAAAGGCACGAAGCCAGGAAAAGGTGATGAAGAGAAGGAAGCACTCGGAGGAGAAGATCGGGCTGCGTGGAAGGAGCGGGAGGTGGAGCAGGGCAGGTTGAAATGAGAGGCGGTGGTAAGCGCCGACCTGTGCAGGCTTGGGGAGTGTGGAAATGTTTCAGGAAGGTGGTGCAAGCTACATATCACTCCTGGCAAACTTTCTCTAAGAAAATAGTAAGTGGGTGGCCCGTTGCTATATGTGCTTCCCACTGACGGTTCCTGGGAGCGGGCCAATGCTGTGTGCTTCAGTTCAGGTTAACAGCGAGACTGGGAAAATATTGGCCGTAGCCCTGGTTCTACAAACTGTTTGCACAGGGCATCTGTTGCCCTTTGTTAATAACGGGGTGCTCCAAGAGTTGGCCACTTCAGGTCGTGTGTGTGAAACGGGGGAAAGTGCTCCCGTGGTGAGGTGGGGCTCAGCTGCAAAGGGGCTTTTAGCTGCAGCTCTAGGTGGGAAATGTCCCAAGCCACAGCCACTGGATGCGCTTATCCCGTGCTGCCAGGTACTAGCTGGGCTTGTAGGATGCTGCTCTATGCTGGGGCAAAGAAAATTAAAATTATCAATAGGACGTATGTCAGAGGCTTGGCTCTTTTCTCTGAAATCAATTGGCAAAGGGCACTCAGAGCAAAATAGTCACTGTCAAATGGGCTGTGCTTTGCTCTGCATCCATCCTCTGCCCCCTAAAAAAAATTGTTTTGCTTTTTTTCATACAAATCCAGTAGGTTTTTAAGTAAGGAACTTAACTATCATGGTCATGCTATGCTCTTGGGGAGCGAAAAAATTGCTTTCGCCTACAAAATGTTTACATTGGCTGCCAGGTTCCTCCTGATTTCCTCTGTTGGGAATGAATAATTAAGGAGTGAAGTGAGAGGTGAAAAAGGCCTCTATGTGTTTAAGCCTAATGTCACAGCTTTCCAAGGACAAAGCTTCTAGCACATAGAAAGGTTTCTCTGTCAAGCAGATGAATTCAATAGCTAAGCAAGATGCCAAGAAGAGGAGTCAAACAAAGAAGCGAATTCCCAGTAGGAAGCTTTTAGTATGCACTCAGGACAGGTATTGCATGAAATGGATGCAGAGCACACATATGTGGGACATACAGGCAACACACATAAGGTGTTAATAGTCTAAGCTGATGCCAAGGAAGAAAAAGAGCAGACAGGGTCAGCTACTGTTTCCTGAGCTAAATGTTCCTTTTCTTACGGTGGTCAGAGCCAGGGGTAGTTTTACAACGTGCAAAACATGCACTTGTAATTAAAATGAAACTCACACTGACAGAGAGAGGGGATGGCGAATGTTGACCTCACAGGCTGCATCTGCAGAGCATTTGGGGACACATTCCTTCAGCAGAAGCGATGTTGGCTTTTGATAGTCTTTTTAAATAAAAGGTAGGCAGGAATGAAGTTCTGTTAATTTGTATGCGCTGCGTGAAGCCGTTTCTCACAAGGCAGTGCCGGTGGTACTTCAGAGCAGAGAACTGCCCCACTATGGTTTTTTAATTTCCATTCTTCTGTTTGAAACCAGAGGTGCTGCTAGTGCTTGCAGGCAGTGGAAATTAAAATAAAAGCAAAGCAGAAGAAACAATAGGAAGGTTTTACTTGTCTGTTCTGCTCGTTTTCTGCTGCTGGGCTTTGCAGTGCTGTGCTCGTGTAGCTCTTTAGGCAGGTAGGTCCCTGGCAGACCTTGCCAACACATCCGGGTTGGGCTTGCAAATCTGCCCTGCTGAAATTGGGCTTGGGACAGGAGCCACGGATAACTTCAGCTGTGCTCCAGCACACCCTGGCTAGCACAGGTGGGCTCATGGAGAGAAACGTGTGGCTTTGGTTTCTGAGCTGGTGTGCTGCTGACCCTCCTCGATGGCGAGGCAGGACCTGTGGGTGCACCTGGCTTGCACCGCGCTTTTCTGCTTGCCTGGGGGAAAATCTCTACCCTGGTCTTTTGAATGTAAGATTCCTGGGGAGAACGGGTAAGTCTGCTCCTCGCTTCCAGCCCTCCTAGACTTTTTAATCTCCTGCACTAACCAAAGAATCAACAAGTATATCATCTTCCCTGCAGCGAGATAAGATCCCTTAAGAGGCAGAGCACTCTGCCTTCCAACAAACTCATGCATAAAAGGTTAATTTAGAGCATGGGGATATCTGTGCATGTTGAGCAAATGGAGAGCTGGAGGGATTCTTTTTATTCCTCCTCCTCTCCTCGCGTTGGCTAGCGAGGGCAGGTTGAGCGTAGGACTCCGCGTTACGGAGCACCTCTCCATCACCCCAGCCTTTTGTCAATTCACCCAATGTGACAATTACAGCATTTCAGAGATGAGACTTTCTAATCCTATTACTCATTCATCAACCTGCAGATGATAGCAGAAGCCAGATCGAACAGTGCCAAAAGAGCAGTGAGGAGCCTTCTCCAGTGCTGTGAAACTAGGCTTAGCTCAGGCACAATAGGTGTGTAATTTAAGGTTTTGTTGAGCTGAAATCCAATCACATACTTGACTGGTAGATCACAGAAAGACACAGACAAAAAGAATGAGATAATTCTACCTCACACAAACACTTGAATCCGGCTTTGACTTAATAACAAGTGTGTGATCAACCTTACACTGTTTCTTTCTTTTTTTTTTTCTTTGAACCTAGAGATGGGATGGAGCTGAAATATTTTACCTACTTGGGTATCAGCCAATAATTAAAAAAAAAAAAAAAAAGTACCAGAAGATAATGGAGGAACTTGCTTAGACAAATAAAGGGAAAAAGTACAGATGCTCATTATATGAAAGATAATATGAAAATATAATGTATGGTGGTAGCTCAGTGCTATCTTGTCAGCATCTGATACCTACTGCTTTCCCAAGGATGGAGAGGATCTAGCAGATACGAGAAGAACAAAGCTAAAAAAGTAAAACCTTGACTACAGAAGGAGAAAGTACACTGTGAACCTTACTGCTGTCTTTCCTGTAACTAAAATACTCCTTTTGTTTTGTCCTCTTTCAGGTGCATGCTGTAATTGCCAGAGGAGCGGTGGGAGCTCTCACAGGTAGATGAAGCAAACGCCGAGGTGCTGCAGCTGTGAGCAGGTAAATGGGAATGTGAGGAGGAGGGGACCTTAGCTCTTGCCTCCTGTGGAAACAGAAAGGAGGGTTCACTCCTTTCTGTGTTTACAGAGGTAGCTTTTCATTAGGTAGAGTGTATTACTTAGATTCACTCTCGTAAAGGGGCACGTTCAATACAGGCTGCTCCAGGCATGGCCTTTATACATTAACAAAATAAAGTGCAGGGCACATAAGGTAAATGGTTTAGCAGGAGAGCTCTCTGCAACAGGAGCATCCACATTTATTTCCATCGCTATCATCAGTGGTGTTTTTCTGTACAGTGTAGCTGTCCTGGCCAAGTAAAAGCCTTCTATTAAGACCAAACTTCAAAAAACACATTTCCACAGTTTTGGTGTCTGTCTTGAGCTCTTCAAATTAACAAGCCTCTGCATGTTAGTGGAATTAATGGTGCATGAAATTTGGTACTACCTTGTAGGTGTTGTGAGCTAGACACTCAGAAATACAGAAGTCCCAAACTAGAAGAGACAGGAAAAAAAAAAAAAGGACTACGAAGCCACTGCTAGGAAGAATGACTCACATATGGCAGAGGAGTGAGTGCTCTAGTGTTGTGGTTGAAAAAGCTCTTTTTAAAGTCTGCCAGTCAAGAAAATGCCTTCAAGCCACATGAATTGATGCGTAAGGCTCCAAACGCAATGGTCACTAATATGCAATCAGCACAGTGGGATGTGTTACTCAGATGTAAGCCAGTTGTCAGAGCTAATCTGCTGCAACAGGTAACACACGGTCCTGTGCCAAAACAAAGGAGCAACCAGTGCAGAGACTGGCAGAAAAAACATCACCAGCAAAACCAAGAGGCTCAAAGGGATGACCAGGAAAAGGAATCCTGGAGGTCAAAGAGTTAAAAATGAAGTGTGAAGTTTGGCATTAGTTGTAAGAGACCAAATTCCAGGCAATGTTTTCCTTAAAAATAAAACAATACATTACCAATTTGCAAGATTGAAAGCATACAGAAGCAGCATCAATGAAAATACTGTTCTAGAATAAATGAATTAGTGGGGGAAAATCCCACAGCAATGGAACTGTTGTTGAGACACAACACAAAGTTTTTCAATAGTTTGCAGGAGTATGGGGAGATTGAGATATGTTCCAAGCAGAGGGAGGAAAAAAAAACATATCCACAACCCAGTATAATCTGAGAAGTTCACGCTGGAGACTAACATGGTTCCCAAACTGCAAAGATCTCATAGAGATTTACTTCAGCAATATAAACACTGACATTTGACCAGACAATCGCCTTGGGGGCATTAGCTAAAATAGCCTCAGCTTTAAAATTGAGGTACGAACTTCTGAAGGCTTTGTTAGTTGTTCTCCAGTGACACTGAGGCAACCATTCTGCTTACTGGATATATCAGCATCACTAATTTCAGAAGAGACTGAAGATTTTGCCTGTGCTTAGGCACAGCTGCCCTCTCACCGAGATGTTCTTTCCCTTTGGTGTGCAGATGTGGGCAGCTCGGCTGTCTTGCCACCAGCATTAGGACAGGTACAGTTTTCACCACCGTTTTTTTCCTGCTGTCATCTTCCACATTTGGAGGAGGAGGCATCAGGCATTAACCCCCCCAGTCTGCACATGGGTTTTATCTTGCCTTTTTCCAGTAAAATATCGTTTGGGTTCCTTTGTGCTGGGAGCCTCAGCCTGCTGTGGAGCAGATCCCAAGGATGAGCGACAGCTGCCAGAACAACTGCAGCTGTAAATGCCCCAGTGGTCCCTGGGCGCTGCAACTGCTCAGTGGGAGCTGTCTGATGTCACTGACCCCACACTGCATTGGGAGGGGAAGGAGCAAACTGGTCAGGGCCTTCTCTATAAGGACATCTGCTAATGACCTGTGCCTGGCAAGGTGTAAATGTATGCACGGTTCAGCACTTGAGTGCTCCATAGACATGCTGGTATTTAATAGATGTGCTCTTTTCATCATGTTGTACAGCTCCAGAATCTTACCCAGGCTAACAGTAGAAAATAAAACCTTTTTGTTACTGATGACTTATGGATGTCCAAGAGGGGCTTCTCCTCTTTGTGAGAGCATAATAAAGGGCAGAATGCTGCGCAGGCAGTGAGGAGCAAGGGGGGACGAGTGTGGATAAAGTCCTGTGAACACCAAGGTCAGAGAAGAAGGTGGAGAGAGGCGCTGCAGGCACTGGAGCATCCCTTCCCCTGCAGCCCACGGAGAGCCCACGCAGGGCAGGTTTATCCTGAAGTGCCCGTGGAAGGAGCCAGGCTGAATTAGGGGAGAAGCATGAGGAGGAAGGAGTGGCAGCAAGGACCTGCCATGGAATGACTTTAACCAAGAAGCGTAAATTAAATGTTCTTGTGGGCAGAGCATTCAGTTTCGGCACTTTCCAGATCCAGACAGTGAGGTGGAGTATGTTATAAAGCAACACTTTCACTCCTTCCCTGCCTTCCCAAATCAAACCAGCCAGGACAAAGAGACACCCCCACCCCTTTGCCTCTCCTTCGCCCTCCCTTTGCTATGCCCTGCCCTGTATGGCCCTTTGCAAACTGGTGTAAGCAGTGGCAGACCCGGCAGCCTTGCTCAAATCCTGCTCTCTGCAGCAACCTTTGAAAGGTCAGACACCGTGGGCCAGCGGTGGATGTTTCTGCATGGCTCCTTGCTTTTTGTCCTCACACTCTTTCCCTCGGTTCCTTGTCAAACTCTAAGAAAAGCTCTTCAGGGCCACGGAACTGGGGGCAGGTTTGGCCACAAAGAAATTCAAGTACCATGTCTCTGTCTCTAAGTCCCAGGCCGTTGGTGTCTGTTGCTGTGAAGTGTCAGACTGTGTATTGGTTGGTAGCTAACAGCAGCAACACTTAACGAGGTTGAGTGAGGATGATGTTTAAGCATTTCTCATCCTAAGGAGCTACCATGGCAGCTGTGGAAGGCTCCTACAGTCTGGGTGTGCTCTGAATAACCTCTCTCACTATGGTTCGCATTAAAAATTTTGATTATCTGTCAGACTGCTGCTCCCCTTCTCCTGAGCTATCAGGGTTGCAACACTCTGTAGAAGTCATTTACTTGCCAGTGGTACCGTTAGCCCTTTGTGAACAATTAAGCTGAGGTCGGAGGTTGTAATATATCAAATTTGCGGACCACATTAAATTTTATTTTTACTGAAAGGAACTTTTTGTCTCTTTTATCAGGAGGAAAATTAAGCTGTGAACTGGAATTCCATCAGGCTGTCTACTGTGAAGCCCTGTGGCTTTAGCAAAGGGGCAGCAGTGGTCAGAAATGACACCCAAAAGGTAAATTTATTTCTTTTTTATTAAAAAGGATAAGTTACGACCCGTACAGTATATCTTAAGGAGGGAACTTAACACAATATGCTGTATTTTCCCATTTCTTTAAAAAGGCTGATTTTGCAACACAGAGAAGCTCTGGATGGGAGGGATGAGGTGCTGGGCTACCAGCAGGGCACAGACAAACCATCACCATCCACGCAGGCCCTGCTGGCAGCAGCCACATGTGATGTGGGTGGCTCTTGTCTGGTCCCAAAAAGGCATGGAAGTGTGAGCTAAATGTTCTGCCCACCTAATTATAAACAGACAGGAGGTGCAAGGTAGGATTTTAGAAATGGTTTTCTTTTCGATTCTGGAGTTGAAAGTTTTTTTTGGGTAAAATTTTTAAACCCTTTGAAAACACCTCTTCATTGTGGGCCTTCTGTCTCACCAAACCCGCTAGCAGGTTTTGCCACTAATTTCTGGGAACTGGATCACTTTCAAAAGTTTTGTTGAAACTTGCTGTCTGTGCGAATTTTTGCCATTCTAGAGAATTGTTATTTAATAAATGGAAATAATTTTAATATAAAACCAAACTACAGTGAAACCCTGTGTCACTCCCTGGCTTCCAGAGAGCAGACAGTTTGGGGATTTAAACACCAGGTTAGAAATTCCCAGACACGCTGGCTGCCCAGCCAGGCAGACTCTACCATTGGCCTCTCCAAGGTTGTGTTCAGTGTTGTAGTGTAAGGATTGTCTTTTGGGTCTGAACATGCAAGTACGTGCTTGTTCTCTTCATATGGGTATAAAATACCTCTTTCTGCTTTGCACAGGCATCAAAATACATGTGAAATCCTCAGGAACTTGCATGTTGGTCCTGGTGCTGTTTATGCAACCTGCTCTGCTTGCCTGCAGTTGGCCAGCTGTGGTTTGGACGCAGACATGTTTGATTTTTGTGCACAGTGGCTGATGATATCAAATTAGGCTGCAGAGATCCTACAGCCTTTTCATTTTTCAGTGAGATTAAAGGTTTGCCCTGCTATATTTGCTGTGCATTTCTCCTCCCCTCTCTGCTGCACAGTGTTATGTTCCGCTCATCCATATCTCCTGTTTCCACCCTAAAGAAGGCGGAATTTCAACAGCAAGAAAAGGGCTTCTATTGTGCCCTGTATAATTCAAAAAACACCCTCTGGGATGAATTGTGCAATTTTAATATTCATTATCTCAAATGGAGACAATAGAGTAGACCATAGTAGGAAAGGCTGATTAGTAGATCACTGAAGATAGAGGTTTTTTGTTTTATTTTTAACTTGGCACATTATTTGGTGATAAGCAAGTAAAACAGTTCCTCAAAACCAGAATCTTTGGAATTTGAAAATGCAATGCAATGGCTGTGTGGGAACCATCCTTCAGTGAACACATCCATGGGAGCTCAAGAGCCGTGCATGGACAGACCTTACTTCGTTTATAAGTCTTAAGCCTTACCGGTTAGCAGCTGAAACCAAGAGATTTCTGTTGCTCCCTCAACTCTAAATGAAAGGCTTGTTTCAGAGGGAAGGGGAGCATGCAATCAGTCCATAAAGTGAATGGTAATGCTTTAATTACCATTCCATTGTTATTCTTCCTATTTAGCTGCTTGGGGGTTGCGTAGTTTGCATATTCATTCCTTTAATTCTCACAAAGGTTTTGTTGTTGTTGTTTTTTGTTTGGCAAAAGTTTGACTCCAAAAAGAGAGCAAGCTTGTCATTAATGGGCTCAAAGGGAAAGAATGAGGAAGGTCTGTTTTCCCCCAAATCTCAAAGATTTCTGGGGGGGAAGGACACAAGGTAGGTACCGTTTTGCAGAAACAGAGATACAAAAGATTTTTTTATAGGCAAGTGCAAGTGAAATCGGTTGTGGCAACACAGTTTGGGAGTGTAATGAAACAGCCAAACAAAAAATTCCTCTACCCATCACCCAGTGCAGACAAAGTGAATTCACCATTTTTTTAAAGGCTGCAGTACTTGGCAGTGCCCTTCAAGTGAAGCTTTCCAGCAACTCACTCTCTTGAAAACTTGAGTGAAATACAACACTATGTACTCAGTTAATTCCTTTACTGTAGAAGAAAAGTATTGACAACATTTTTGTTTCCTTTTAGAAAATGACATGGAATTCACAGTGGACTTCCTACTCCTGTGAAAGAAAGGGAGAAGATGCTTTTGCTTCACACAATCTTCACATCTAAAGAGGTAAGTTGATCTTCTTGTAGAAACATTATCACAGCTACAGCCTTCTTGACTAGCTCTTTATGTCCTCCTGTCATGCATTATTCCCATTACACGAACACTTCTCGAGGCTTTGTGACAGTACGGATTAGGCTCATAAGAGCGTGCTGAGGCAGTGGGCAAAGTTGCAGCATCTTGCTCTGAGGTCAGGGCAGTGTTAGAGGTCTTTCTTCAAGCCTAAGACAGCAGCAGGTATTCTTGGAAAATGCACATATACTGGAGCGGACTGGGGTAATGCATGAACAAAGGCTGGGAAAACCAGGCTAAGGATGATTTGAAGACATTTTTGGTGATTGTAGAATTTAAGCCAGTACAATCAGTCCTTCTTAGAATTAGGGTGTTCTGTGCACCTACTACACGTGAACCAGGAGCAGGAGGAGTCCACTATAGGCTCAGCTCATGTAAGCTGTCTCCAGCTGTCACCAGAGATACCGAAAAGCCAGTCACCATCAGAGGTATTTCCTGCTGTCATCAGATGGAGCATAGTGACTAAAAGGTGTTGCCAAGGATGAGCAAAGAACAGGCTGCAATGATCAATATTTAATATCTTGAGATTTTTCACGGTCATTTCCATATTTAAACATAATATATTTTAATATAGTTGTGCTTATCCATATACTGTTTTTATTCCTAATCTAAGCAATCTCCAGGCCCGAGAACTTTCTTTCTGTTGTCTTCTGTCTCCCAGGCATAGTATAATGACAAACCAATTCCTCTGCTTCCTAGTTAATGAATAGTCTCTAGTTTTTCAGGCAGGAGTGTTAAAGAAAGCCTAGCTTTTAGCTATTAAATGTATTCAGTGGTATTTATGACAGATTTTCCACTTCTTCTTTCTTGCTGCACATAATCTTCAAGATCATTAAAGGGAAATTCTGAGATTTGCCATGCTCGGTGCTAATGTAGCACTTGTTTCATAATGAAGCTTGAAATGGTGGGTTTTTGCTCTGCACACGATTAATGCTAAAGTCCACATCCTTATCTGATAGAAAACACCAAGAGCTCCACTGCAGTAAATGAAGTTAGGATAATTTGCATCGGTTGAAGATGTGGCCCTATATCTGGTTGACATTATCGTGCCTGCTACAGTATAGACACCAGCTGGGGTGCTGTTGTTTCATTCCTGCGTGGGGTAGGAAGGGCCTCAGTGGGGGAGAATGAAAGTGGAGAATGGCCATTGCTAGTGCAAGCTACGAACGAGCCCTCTGAAGTATAAGAAGGTTGAAATAAAAAGGCAAGCTCACCATAACGTAGTGAGATGCAACAGAAAGGACGTGAACTTGGGTTGCTCCGCTTATGTTACTCCAGAGGGATTTGTGCTCGGAACAGCTCCTCCAGCCCACGTCTGTGATCAGGGGTGGGAAAATTCTCCCATGCCCTGTGGTTTTCAGGTCGAACTGAACTGCTTGGGGGCTGTACCTCAAAGCCACATGGAAGCTCTAACTACTGCCGTGCAAAATGCCCTGTTTCTCAGGTGGGGCTGGCAGGAACCAGTTCTTCAGCAGCTGTGTTGGCTTTCTATTTGCATTTGGATGAAAATCAAGAGGTTGCTTTTTCTCGCTCTGACTTTGAATATAAGTCTCTCTCCTCCCTTCAGCTGCCCTAGTTCTTAAGTGTTGGTGTTCGCAGTGCTGTAGCTACCTGGATCTAGGCTTTTGTTTCAGGTGGCTTGCGCCACAGTGTTCTCCTCAGGAACAGTCTTGCTGGAGGCACTGTCTCCCCTCTGGCCCCAAGGAGAACACATCTGCTCTCTCTGACACAAAGGAAGCTTCTGGAATTGTCATTCTGTTGGGCAGGACCAAAATAGCCATAAGATTTGGTATGCATTTTTAGTAGGTTGCAACTGTGCTCCTTGAGCCAAAGGAAGATGGTTCATACAGCAAAGAAAATAACACTTTTGCTCAAGTTTTGCTCAGTAGCTTTTCATTAGTAATCTTCAATAAAACAAAAGCTTATAAATGCCCAATCCAGCTGCTGTTAAAATATGAACAGAATTGCTGTTGAATTGAATGAGGTCAGACTGGGGCTCCAGATGAAGGTCAATACAATTTTTAGTTCCTTGTCACTCTCTTTTGCCCGGCCTGGCAGTTGCACATAAGAAAGTTGGCCAGCTGTGAGATGGTGATTCAAGGAGGATGGCTGTGCCTCTGAATCCATTGCTCCAGCTGTCTCAGGCTGTTCTGGTGAGCCAGAGGTTTGTGCTCTCCAGCCCAGGCACAGGGAATTACAAATGTGTGCTGAAATAGAAGCCAGGGTTCAGGGTGAGGACACACTAGAACAAAGCCTGTTGGTATGGGAGAATTACAATAAATGGCATGAAGAAAGCATGTTCGATTCAAATTCTTGCCGAATGTGACTTGATTGTCACTTTTCTTGGGAATATGGCCTTACTACCAGAACAAGAGAGAGAAGCTGGTGATCCCTTTGGAATTAAGGGTTTAGGGTATGACATGGGGAATTAGACATGGGCCTCCCATTAGCAAGAATGTTGACCTCCGTGCATAGTTCTGAAAATAAACCCTATCTCCAAGCTCAGTTGTGTTTTTCTTCTGCTGAAGAACAGGCTTAGATGTTACTGAGCAGGAGAGTAGATCTCATGATTGGAAACTTCTGATGTCGTTTTCAAGTGCAGTTATAAAACTGAGTGATGACATGTAGGTGTCCGCACCCAAAATATTTACAAATCAAACTGTGTGGGTGCCTGGTTTTTATGGTGGCAATAAAATATTGCTTAGTATTTCCTGGTAAACTTTTAGTCCTGAGTAATTATTATTAAACAGATGGAGAAACAGGGAGCTATAGCAGAATTGAGAACATTATTCATAAGCCCTGCTTTTTCCCATGGGCTGACAGTCGAGAGACTGTACACCTAGCCCCTCCAACAGTCTTCATCATAAGCATGTGCTTTTGGCAAGTAGCTCCACTGCAGCCCGGTCAAATGATGACACTGAAATCAACAGAAGCATAAGGTGGCAGTAAAGCATAATAAGCAGAACTCCCAGCTGAGGCTTGCAAGTGAGCTTTGAGTCCCACTGCAGCACGGGATGTGATTTGGATTCTCTTGTGCCTCAGTTTCCCTGTGTGGAAACAGTAATGATCCCTTTTCTGAAGTCCTTTGACATCTGAAGAAGCCGAGTGCTGTAGAAAAGCTTGCTCGCTATTATGCGTACATTTAAAACAAAACTTAATGCTTCAGTGCTTTGCTAGGTTGGGGGTGAATGTGCTTAGTGCTTTGTGTGATCGAGCTGTAGATTACATAGGCAGTGGTTTGTAATAAGAGCCTTATCAGTAACAAAAACCCTTCTGTCATCCTCAGAGAAGCAACAATCGTATTTTAAAATGGTTGCCAAACGTGTTTATTTGAAGATGGTTGTTTCTAGCATAGCTCAAACCATTGTGTGGCAAGAGTTCAATTGCTTCCCACTAAAGCCAACATTCAGAGCTTGGAAAACTGTTAGATAAATGTCAGTTTCTGCCATAATTTGTGGAATCAATACAAACTGAGTCAAAGAATCACAAACAGTAATGTGAAAATAAAATGATCTGTGTTATGGTTTTTAAGTAAATGATGATAAACTAATAAATGCCATTAGCTGCTGCCATTACTTTGTTGAATTTAGCTGATGTTACTGTGTTGACTTTAAAAGCTATCAGCTTAACTATATAAATCCATTTGACATGTCTTTATTCAGATAAAACTTTAATACTGCAAGTGTAGCAAATTAGATGCAAATGCTCTTTTTATTTTAAGTATATTTAAAGCTGCCTTTTCAATGCAAATTTTACAGGAAATCTCAACAAGCTAGGACAGACATCTTAGCTGTCAGCGTGCAGCACTTTCATTTCGGGCTCAGGCATGGGAGCTGCATTTTGTCCCTGCAGACTGAGATAATTAAAACTACAGAGAGATGGTTTTAAATATACATGATACACAGTTACTTAAATTGTGGGATAATGCATAAATGCAGTCCTTAACGTTTTTGGTAGCACAACACTGACCAGACGACATAGCAGGGTAAATTGGAGAGAACAATTTTATTTCTGCGTAAACAGTTTTATGGTTTGTTGGGTTTTGTTTTGTTTTACTTTTCACCTGAATTATTGTGGAGGCGCAGAAATACCAATTCAAAGCCTGGGTTGTGAATGCCCTCATTAAAACGACACTGATACCATTAACTTTTTTTTTTTTTCCCCTTCTTTGCTTTTTTTCTTTCTTTTTAAATTATGCTTTAACTTCTTTGTTTTTGAGCAGTCCACAGCCTCCTTGGAATACATATCTATTTCAGCTTTCATTTGCTGAACCCCCTGAATGAGTTTATCCAAACAATGTGAATTTACTCAGATCTTTTTAAAATCCCACATCTCTTGTGGTTGATAAAGCTGACTTTAGCTAAGAAGAGTTGGATCAGGGTGATTTAAATTTCACAGTGAAAATGATAAGGGCTTTACTAGAAATAATAAGCACATTCAAATACTGTCATGGGCAAACAGTTGAATGTGCAGTGAGAAATTCGGCAAGGCTAGTCTTTTCCAGTGTTGATTTAATGAAGCAATGGATAGTAAAATAGAAAAAAAAATAACTCGCATTGAGAGGTAAACTTACTGTTAATGCCTTATCAGTAGTTTTATAAAGCATTATTCATTAAAAAGCAGCATTAATGCCCTAATAACTTTAAAAATATCATGCCGTTTAAAAGCAACAAAAAGCCCAAGCCAACCCACCAGGCAGGGAAGCAGAAGAGTCCCTTTGGCAGCCCTACAAACTGGCTGAGCGATACCCTGTTATTGTCAGGAGCCGCATGTTGGTTTGTTGAGCCCGCGGATAACTTGTGTTTCAGGGAAAGAAAAAGGAAAAAAAACACAACACATCCACTTAAGCTTCAGGGCAAACAATACTGGCCCACTGTTTAAAATGGTTTTGAACATTTGCTTGTCCATTTCAACAGCACAGAGCCTCACCTTTCTCATTCAAATCGGGCGAGGAATCTGCACAGAGCCAATTGCAAAGGAAGGCTTGTCTGGAGCTGCTACATTTCCAGGATCAAAAGGTTCAAATCTATGAATCCAGATGTGCTTTGGAGCGAGAGGGCCATGCTGGCTATTGACCAGGCAGGCAGGAGGAGCAGAAGGCGAGCTGATTTTGGAGGCGGTGGGGCAGGCGGTTTACAGCCATCATTTGTGGGGTTGTGTGCAGCAAGGAGCGGGCATCCCGAATTAGCCAGCTCTGAGGCAGCTGGAAAACAATAAATCAGATGTGCATGGCACTTCCAAGAAGGGCTGAGAGAGAAGAAAAGGGAAGAAACATCACTGCGTTGCCAAAGGGCTGAGGTTAAGGATCCCTCTGTGCAATTGAGCAGTTTTTAATTCCCACCTCTGAATGCCTCCCTGTGTCAGGCGTCCGGGGCTCCTCCAAGGAGCCACCTCGCTGCTGCCAAGTGGGCAGCCTGCGTGCGATTAGCCTGGGTTTTCACAGGTACCCCAGGGCCTTTATTTATTTACTTTTTCCCTTAAGGAAGGTGGTAAAAACCTACGGGGAGCTTCCTGCAATCAGCGCAGGGGAGCAGCAGTCATTTGCAGGCGGGCGAGATCAATATTCCTGCCCAAGCTTTCTGCCTGCACTTCCAGCCAGTAATTGTGGGGCTGTTCTCAATTCACGAATAGCGTGTATAAGGAAAAACTAATCTCTTCCAAACAGCTCATTTCCATAGCTAACGACCAGAGAAGTACAACTGACTTTGTCACTGACAACTTCTTTGTGTTTGTAAACAGGTTTTGTGGGAATGAAACGTTTCTAAGGTGAAAAGAAATAGTTAGGAGCTCAAATCTTCCCATCGACCATCTCACATATTTCCTACATTTGGCTCATTACAGGACAAGTATGTCCTTTAAGACCCAGAGATTAATGAGGCATTTTACGAGACTAATACGTTTTAAATTTTAACACTGGAGTTAGCATCTATAATTGTACAATTATACGTTCATTTAGATTTTTTAAAGATAACTAATCACAGGTGACTAGAGCTGTGTGAAGAGGCAGAATTTATGTTTCTCCAGCTGTAGGAGTACTAAATCATGCAGGAATTGAAATTGTTTTCCTTCTGACAGATAGCTCAGGCAAGATTAGTCAGTCACTGTTTCAGATATAATGCTTTTTTTATTATGCATACTTTATGCGGGACTATTATATTTGTAACGTATACTTCTGCATACAGCAAATTAACTATTGTGTAATGCACGGACCAAGAAAGAGTGTCATTAGTCCTTGCTATCCCGCAGTTTCGAGCAGCTGGTGAAATATATACCAATCACCCAACAGCCAGCTTCGTGTTAACATGTATAACAAAGCCTCAGCGACTCCTGTTTGACAGAACTTTGCCGTGTAGTAATAAATAAGGCTGAATTATTGATGGTGATAACTGCTAATATTATTATGACCTCAATTAAGTGCTTTTTTCAGACGCATTAGCAACAAAAGGTCTTCTCTCTGCTCGGTGCTGTTTTGTCAAGTCCCACTTTACATTAAAATCGAATTGATCAAACCTATTTGCCATTTCGCTGTGAGTGGATAACCATAATGGGTAATCTATCAGCATGGTGCTCCCCTTAAAGCTATTAACACCTTTTGTTGTTTTACTCAAGTTTCCAAACGTGCTGAGAGGTTCAAAAAGGCAAACCCTACAATCTGTTAGGATTGCGCGGAGCTGTGACTTGTGGCACTCTTTTAATTACCATACTTTTTTAACTCGGCGGCTAAACATTGATATTTCTGACACTAAGTAAGTCTTTATTTACTTATGAAGCTGTGAGACAGCTAAATTAAAGCTGATTAGCAAGATGGCAGCTCCGCCGCTTGCAGCTGAGGTGAGTTTAGCTGCGGCGTGGCATCTCCCCACAGCTCGCTGCTTGACTCGTCCTCGCTGCGGCTGAGATCACTCAGCAGCAAGGCAAATAAAGGCAGCTTAGAGTTTTTGCCCTTTGGCAAATTGGCAAATTGTGTTAGCTACATGGGTATGTGTGTAAAGTGTGGAGCAGCCTGTTTGTTTGTGAGAGAGCTTTTATAAAAGGCAGGGGGAGATAATTTCCAGGGACAGGCTGTGGAGTGTGCATGCTTGGGGAGTTGTGGGATTACACTCATTAAAAAGTGAAGAGCTAATGAAATTAATCAGAGGAAAGACTGAGTAAACCGGAGAATACAAATACGGGCCTCCTGTCTCGGGGAGGTTGCCACTTTTCACTTAAGTCTCCGTTGGAAATTCCTGTCCTCCTGGAACCATTCCTCACGTTTGTGTGTCTGGATTTTGGAGATTTGCCTCCTCAATACTTGTATGGGGCTCCATGGCAAAAGACAGAGGGAATTCCTGGTTTACTCACTCATGTCAAGCCTAGACTAAGAGTGCCTGGGCTGTGATTCATCACCGCTTGTGTAATGCTGATGCAAAGCCCAAGTGAAAGTAGGTGGTACCGCCTGCACCAGCACAAAACCCCAGTCATATTTTTGCTGACAATCTCAACAGAAAAGCCTGGTTGGAATAAGCGAGGATGTCCTTTATTGCCTCACATGTTCCTGTTGCTTTCTTTTTGTTTATATCGACAACAAAAAAACCCTCCCTGTCTGATTGCGCTGCTGATAGCCTTGGTGAGCATCCCATTCATGGAGGATGAAGAGCCCAGGGGGAGCCTTGCCTGGCAGGAGGGAGCTGTCAGCACAAAGCAGCGGCTCCTGCTCCACCATGGCTTGCTGCTGGCACAAGGGGAGTCGGTGCCACTGATGTAAAGGAGGTTACGCCTTTTGTGACGTTAACGTCAGCAATGGCTTTGGCCCTTTTGCTTCTGCATACCGTAGTGAGTCAAAAGCAGGGTGAAATGAAGAAATATTTATGTTGGCTTCCAAACCAGATTGAAGATAAATTGCTGTTAAGCTCCAGTTCTGTCTAACCGTTGATACGTGTAATATAGCAAATTAATTAAAAGCTTACAGTCACAATATATAGGGATTTCAATTGTTTTAAAGCAGTGGTTAGTCTTTCAGCAACTGGAAGTTACACGTGACCGAGTTATTCAGTAGTCAGCACTTCCAGAACTGTCTGTTTCAAGTAGTTTACTACACTTCCTATTTCTTCTTGTCAATCATATTTTGTGCATTTTGATCTTGCGTTGAACAAACCAGAACCATCCTTTGCCCATTTTATGAGTGTCCTGCAAAGCAGGGTATGAAGCGGGTTGATGACAGCCCATCCATCTCGCTGTTTTTGAAAGGGATTCTCCTACTGGACATCATGGGGAGAAGCGTTTTTCTGAAGCCCACCCACCTAGTCCCCTTCAGAAGTGGCTGCATTTTCCTAAGGCATTTCTTGGAGGGGTAACCTGCATATCAAACAGCAGATTTCGTAGTGCCATATAGCGATGTTGACTTTACTGATGCTTCAGCTGCTGTTGTCTTAATATGGGCTGTCGCTCACATGTCAGCTGGAAACAAAAATCAATAAGCAATGAGAATGGGAGTAAAGGGAAACCAGAGAAACAAAATGATGAACAAGAATTTGGTATCTCCCCTCGTATACTCCCCGTCAGCCGCTGTGTGCCTCTTACCCTTTTGGAGGATCCGCAGCTAATCCCTGCGGCCTCGTGCTTGCAGGATTTCAGGGCTCTGCCCGCTGTGGGCAGGAGGAACTCCAGGCCCAGTGGCCAGTACAGGGCCTGCTCCGACCCCCTCAGACCCAGCTGCAGAACACGCATGGGCCTCGCTGAAGGGCAGCCCCCGGGGCTAAGTGGCCATGGCCACCCCGTCCTTGCTCCCAGCCCAGGTACAGGGTACCCAGGCGGCCCAGCTCTGTGTGCGGGTGTCACATACAGACACACAGCTGACAATGTTAAAGAAATAAACATTTGTTTATTAACATAACATTGTTTTCTACAATTCGGTGGGTATTTACCTAGCTCATGAAGGGGTCTGCTCGGGTTGCTGGAACTGGCACTTCCACCTCTGCCCCTCTTGGGGCGTGTGGGGTTGGTGGTTTGGGCTGTGTGTGTAGGTAAGGGGAATGTGTGTGTGGAGGGGCACTGAAGTGGAAGCAGGAGCTGGAGGAGGAAGCAATCCGTTTAAATGAATAACCGTGCCAAAAGCCCAGTCATAAGGTACAGACGGGGGAGGCCGTTAATGAAAGCACCGAAGCAGCCACATCTGTGATTGAATACTCAGTCTTTTAGTCCCTACTGCTGTGTTTACTGCTCCTTAATGTGGTATTGTTTACTCACAATTAAACCCTTTGCCATTAATTTAACTCTCAGATGTCGAATCGGTCACAGGGACCCAGATCCCGGACAGCTGGGCTCTGTACACTTGTTTAAGCACAGCTCTCGTTAGGAGGGAGAGAGCGTGGTGCAGCGAGCTGATGGCAGCACGGGCTGGCTGCTCTCCGTGGTCATCGGCCCCGCTCCCGGTCCTGCTCCCAGCCCCAGGAGCCGTGGGGGAAGCGTTACCCATTGTCAGCCGAAATTTCACACCAGAGATAACAAACGCTTGAGACCCAGGCGCTGCTCGGAGGAGATAAACACATTTTCCCCCATTAATTAAAACGTATCTGTAAATTTAAGCGGAGATGTTCGCTGTAATAAGTTTTGAACTGGTGACAAATGTCAACAGCAAAAGGGCCGAGATAAGGCGATGTCAGATCCGTGCGTGACGATACGCGCCTTCGCGCCCCAGCCTTACACCGTGGGACGTCGTGGCCTGTGCTGGTGGCTGATAGCAGGGGGTGAAGTAGCCCGCAGTGTGGGATGCCTGGGAGACGGAGGGGTCCTAGCAGAAAAGAGTGGTTTACATCTTGTTGTGAACATGGGGGCTTTCAGTGGTTTTGCATATTTGGTATTTCGCTAAACTTCTCTTGCATTTCTTTTGTCTAAAATAAAACACTTTGGTGTACGTGCTGTACATTGATCGCCCAATGCACCTATTCCTGAACTTTCAGCTGAAGCGACACCCACCTATAGAATAAGTGTACGTTTCTTCAAAAAAAGCCTTTCAAACCCAAACAGACTTGTTCAGTAACATACTGTTACTGCCACATCCAACTGATTTTAAACCGCATGGCAGTGGGATTGCACTGCTTAGTAGAGATCAGTGTGTTCACAGCAGAAACCATGGGGAGTGCCTGATCTTGAGACAACCAGCATTACAATGGCCATGCAGCCCTTTCTTCTCCTCATCAGCCCCTCACAGGAATAACGAGCTGGATGGCAGCTGGGAGGTCTGCATGGGGATGGGGTCTGGTCACACTGCCCCAGCAGCCCTAACGCTGCAATGGTTTCTCCAGGCAGAGGGGCCACAGAAGCAGGGACGTGCCTGCTGGGGAACACACCTCCAGTTTACTCTCAAAACCGAACCAAAATGTTTCTTTTCTTCTTTATCATCTCTATTGAACGTGCTAGAGATGTTTCTCGTGAAGGTGGATTTTGGTCTTTGCTCAGAACAACCGTGTCAGATAACCTGGTGAGGATGTGTAGACTTCTGGATGCTCCTGGCTGGTCCCTTCTTTAAAGCAGTGTCTGAAAAGGGGAGGTCTGCTTGTCCCAAGTCCATCCTTTCAGATTATTTAAATATTGCTGCATGAATGATTCCCAATGAACAGTTTGATCAACTTGCCTTCTTTTGGTAATTGTGGTATATCTACAGCTGTGCTTGAATTTCTTTAAGTTTATTACTAGACAAATACACCTGTGCACCTTTCCTCACTAAACTGATCATAATTTGAAACTTTTATCAGAATGTAGGTGGCTTAGTGCTGACTGTCCATATAAATCAGCAGATATTTGTGCCTGTTCTCATAAGGCAAGCCTTGTAAGTACTGTGCAAATCTAAAATCTGGTTCCAATAACTGGTTGTGTTTTACTGATTTGCCTTTTAAATTCACCTCCTGTGAAAATCAGTGCCATCGAATCAGGGGAGCATGTTTAGGAAGTGAACGTGGGAGCCATAAAGTGACAGAAGTGATTCTGTTTAAAAGTCTGAAGTCAAAGTTAATTACATTGTGCCTTGGTTTTGCATTCACCCTTTATTGGTTTTGGTGCAAACCCAGCAGCATGGAGCAGGTGCCTCCATGCACAATGTCCTGAGCCACCAACCCACCACCCGCCCAGCAAGGCAATGTGCCCGAGAGTCCCACATCCCCCTGCACATCTTTGGGTGAGGATGTGTGTCCCCTCTTCCTAAGCCAGGTCCCAAAAAACACCCTTGGTAGGAGCCTACAGCCCCTTACACTGCTCCGTGTCCCCCTCGGGGCCACCTTTGCACCCCAGGCAGGCACAGCTTGGGGCTCACTCCCGATGGGGTTGGGGACAGGATGGGATGAGCCCCATTTTCTCCTCCTTTGGGGTCTGCCCCGTTTTATGGGGCGCTGGCAGTGGCTACACCTGCGGCTCTAACCGAGTTAACCGAAATGTTATAGCGGTCGGTGAAAGGGAGAGGTCAGAGGCCAGGGGTCAGCCTTTTGGCAGTGGCAGGGAGGAGGAGCGGGATGAAGGCTCGCTACGTTGCCTGCCTCGTCCAGCTGGGAAGGCGCTGTGCTGCCGCTCTGGTGTCCCGGCATTTGCGTGGGCAATTCTGGGCATTGTCATGTGAATAGGGGTTAAATTATTCTGCTTTGTCATTAAGTGATCCTCGATTGGCAATCACTACACAATGGGTGATCATTAGGGAAAGGCCATAAAACTGTTACACCAGTTAGGGGTGAATGGTGAATGAAGCCAGATATCTCCAGCACCAGTTCCCCGCCCTCCCCCGCCGGCTGCAGCTGCTGGAGACGCAATTGAAAGCAGAAACGTGGAGGCTCAGAACAACCCTTTCTTTAAGAGCTCCCCTAATTTCGTTTTGAAAGTGTCTGCATTGAAAGGAACAGCAGATGGACCTTCTGAGAGTTACCTAAGGCATACCGAGTGTGGTCACTTCCCGAGATTTTGCTGTCTCGGTTTAGGTGATGTTTTGGTTAAAGCCCAGCTTGCTGGAGTACCGAGACTGCATCAGATCGTGACCCTTAAAAGCGGAAGTGCCCCGTGGCTTGTTAGTTTCAGAGAAAGTCATGAACATGAGACGAAAGCCCCAAATAGCACGAGAACTGCATGACACAGAAGGACGTGCAACTTGCTTGATGGAAGTGCCTCCAACCCCAGAAGCTCGCGGTGTCCCACGGCCTGAGCCATGGCTTCTGGGGGCTCCAGGCTGATAGTTGCCATTGAAGTCTGGACGTGGGCTTCCCAACCCAAAGTCCCCAAAAGGCTCTTTTGCTTCTCTGTCCCCTCCACTTCCCCCATCATGGTCTTGGGTCCAGCTCCTGCCTGGCCCCATGTCCTCTGCCATTTCATCGCCCTGGAGGAGCAGGAAGGCAGGAGCTTGTGGCTTAGGTAGGACAGTGCTGGTCCTGGCTTGCAGCAGTGAAGTTGCCAAGGGACCAATGCATGAGAAAGAGCTCTTGTTATAGCTGATTGACGGCTCCCATCCAGCCTTACCTGACTTCACCGCTCTTTGTGTTTGCAGTCGTGGTGCTCTAGGTGACCCCCGGGGATGGGGTTTTCCAACAGCTGCCCAGATAGTTCCAGCCGTGCTCCTGGGAATGGTGATTTTTCCATGACTGAAAAGCCAACATAGCTTTTAACTAAAACTGGAGAGCTAATTAACTGCTTAGTGATTTGTCCTTGCTTTTTTATATTCCAATTATGATTGCAGCTCATCTCACTTGAGAAAGAACATGCTCTGTGGCCTGCAAAGAGACTTATTTCTTCGACTACAATTAACAATAGGATTTCTGCCTAGTAATTAAAGATATGCTGTTGCAAGCTGAGTAAGTGGGCTACAAACAGCCCACTGTCCGCTGGGGACGCTCTGAATTGTCATGTTTTATTTGTGGTTCCCTACATCCCTAGATGTGCAGTCAGACCCCAAGCCTGCACACAGCCGCTGCTTTGCATGACTCGGAAAGATCCATTGTGTTCAGGGCCTTTGGAGAGTATCACGGTGATGAGTGCATGAGATCAGACGTTGTACTGTACATCTGCCTTTAAAAGGGAAAAAAGCAAAGAAGTAGGAAAACGTCCCCATTTCTACATTGAAGTTCTAGAATAGCAATAGTCAAAGATGTTGTGAATAACAATAGACGAAGGTGCTGTAATAGATTCTGTGCATTTTCCAACATCTGAATTTCCCTTTAAACTTGTACTAGGTAAATGTTACTCGGTTGCCCTTTTAGAAAACAACAATTTGACTTTTTTCCCCTCTTTCTATTCTGACAAATATTGGTCTTGATGAGTGTTAAGGGACTAAAAACGCTAAACATCAAAGTGCTCATTATCAACCAGCCAGCTGCACTCCTCGCTGCACCTCCTCATCACACACAAACCCGCTCTTTTCTGTAGGGACTGCCCCCCGCCCCCCCGAGACACGGAACAAGTTCTTCTCTACGCTAACAGTGCACAACATTGTCAAATGATGTGTAATGATTTTATAATGTGAACTAATGCCACTAGGGACCGAACTGAGACTTCTGATTTCATTACACTCCCTGCTGAGACTGGTTTGGAATATGAATTTGGGGCGAAGATAAAAGGCTATGCTCACATCCCTTACCCATCAACCCTTGACCAGTATTTTTTGGCGTGGGTCCAGACAAGGATCCGGCCCAAGGTATCACAAGAAAAAAAAACTTGCGATTTATCTATGTTGCTATAAAACACTAGGAGTGCAAACGAGTACCTTTACTGAGCAAACCTGCGTGCCGTGAGTGGAATCTCAGCAGAAGTTAGCAGCTGCCCTGCTGGGTCAGAGTCTGGCCAAGGCTGGCCCGAAAATGTGCTTAAAAGCTACTGTTTGTTAATAGTGGGCCACAGAGTGTCTGTGCTATGATAGGTTAGCTAGAGGTGTTATTTATT